TTTAAAGACAAAAATTATTTTTCTTTTGAATGAACCACTGACATCCAAATAAATTTTTCCCCCTGCATCTGGAAATCTTACCCTTCAAAAACAGGTCCTTATTTATTTGAAAAATAGAAGTGATGCTTTTATATGTGTTTGAAGCCACTCTATTTCTTCCCTTTGTATGCGCTGACACTCTGTAACAGTGTCTATAATGTAGAACACAATTCAACTGAAATGGAAAATATTTCTCATCCAACTTTAAAAAAAAAACCCTGGATATTGTTTACATGCTCTTTTATAGATATGTCTTTTTAAGATACACCACTTTTGTAGCAGAGCAGTGCACTGTGTGCTAATGAGAATCTGTCACTGCATTAATACAGTCGGGCTTTTTCACAAAAGAACAAAAGATTGCCTTCAAAATAAGACAGTTGGGAAGCAGAGTGTCCCCCTGGCAAGCTTTCCTGATAGCTGTCCAACACAGGAAAAACACACAGTAGAAGTCTATCACTACAAACCAATGTATGAAAGAAAAAATTCCCACTTTGAAAAATAATCTGAACTATTAGCCTTAAAAATTTGGAAGCCAGTAATTTTGCAAGTTCTCCCGAAGTGCCAGGAGATGCAAATAACACAATGCTGGCTAGCAGCACTTCCCCAAGCTGTCCCATCCCCAGCTTTCTCCGCCACGTACAGCCACCAACACCACACCATCACTTATGTGAAATGCGTAAGAGACTCCTTATTGACCCTTACCACAACCTCCTGAGGCCTGGAAGTTCTTCTCTTAACACAGGAGCTAATTTCCAATCCCGAGGTCTCAGCTGGGAGGGGTTATGTACATGTAACCCCTGAGCAGCACTACAAGAAACCCAAATGTTTTACAAAAGAACATTAAAGGTTCACTCTTCAAGTCCTATGTGAGCAGTGGCTTTTCTTAAGAGAGGTAATTACTCATGTTTGGTGGAAGTGCAGATCAGGATAACCAGTAAAGCCATAAGAAATAATGGTGTATGAAATGGAAAACAATGGGATTATTTCAAAACATAAGCGTAACATTCATGCATAACAGAAAAAGACTATAAAAGGATTTGCATCAAACCCAAAAGCTTTTTTTTCCAGCAGAAAACTTGTTTTCTTACATTTTCTTAGTTCCATACTAGAGACAGTTCATAATTTTATTCTTTTTTTTTTTTCCTGTTTTTCTTTGCAGTACTTGTAACAGTTTTGAAATGAAATCTTCCTTTACTTGAAAAGCTCAACTATTTCATCACAGAATAACGCTCTTTAAACACAACATTCCAACACAGGAAACAATTTCCTACTTTTATTGAGACAAAACTTTAAGTCCAGTATGAAGCTCTCCTGAAGAAATAAACTCTTTCTACAGAACAGAACATTTAATGACATCCACATTTGGCAAAACATTTTCAGCTCTGTGCCCAACACAGAGACAGTGCAGTTTGGAGAACTGCTAAAAAGGCACATTTAGATTTGGTCAATTTTTTAACTGTAACACACAGAAGCAATGGTTTTAATACTGCTATATAGAGCTCTAGCCAGGATAGGGATATTTGCTAGCACAGAATCAAGGATGAACTTCAAGCATATGAGGAGTGTCAGTGACCACTTTAAAAAGAAGTGTGTTAGTTCAGTTTCAGGATGCTTTTTTTTTTTTTTTTTTTTTAGTAAAGGATGATTAAAGGCTAGCATTTCCTCTTAATGTTCTGTAATTGCTTATTTAACTCCCACTGACACTAATGGGAACAGCATGCTTAACCACCATGTGCAAAGATGAATCTATCTGAACACTCAGCAGGTGGGAGCTGCCTTGCCTATGGAGTTTAACTATGAACAGAGAAGGATGTGAGAGCTATTGTTCTGCTGCCATTGTTTTACAGTCTGTCTAGCTGTGAATCTTGAACACTGTTGCTTCTAGAATATTTCTGAAAGAGTTTTAAGTACCCTGTCCCCTATAAGAATAGGGAAACGCACAAAAAAGAGACTTTCTATGAAGCCCAATGTACGAGTTTGTGACAAGGCCAAGAACAGAACATGGGCTTCTGCCTCCTACTCATGTATTGCAGTTTTCCCCTTTGCACACAGCTAAAATCAGCCCTTTTGTGCTGCCCAGAGAATTGTACAATTAGGGGCTGACCCAAGTATACTGAAGTCAGTGAAGGAGCTCAGTGACTGCTGGAAGATCACTTCCCATACACCTCTTTCAGGAATGGTTGATTCATAGCACTGAAGACTGCCTATGTACAGAGAGCACTGAAAGACCAGAGGGGGGAACACACCTGTGAGTACTGCTGAGTGTTTGTCTCTTTGACTTATCATGAAGATTTCTTCCAGCTGTTCTCTCTAGCTTTGTTGTTGTTACCATTTTCTTTTTTAAATTTAATTTGTCACTTACCATGCGTTGAATCATGGTAATGATTTACCCTCATTAAATGAGTTGGATTTTCTTACATGAACGTACTCTTAATTTCACCTGTTCTTATTAAGAAGCCTCCCTGTAGGCCAAGGTGAAGGGAATGTAGTCTCTACAAGGGATGCAGAAGCCAGATGGGCACCAGCTCAGTTCTGGAGGATGCCATTCATTGGGGGAAAAGGGGATCCTGGGACCTCAGCAACAGTTTGGATAGAAATACCACAGCACTTTGAGCATGCTAAGGACGTAAGATCATGTGTCTGGTCACTGTCAGTACAAAGAAGAGAGAATCAGTTAAGAATAGAGAAAAAACACAATCCCTCTCTCATTTTTGCAATGCCCGCCAATGTACTGAGAGATGTTTTGGATGTCTGTCCAGCTCTCACTAAATACAAATAACTACATAAACAAACATTGAGTCCTCTGCAACATGCTTACAGCCAAGAGACAAAACTGTGCTGATACCCTTGGACAACATGAATGAAAGTACTTAAGTGAAATATCCATACATCAACAGTCAGGATGAGAAAGACATGAAAGCCAAATATGCTGCATCACTTGATTGGTAGTACCATGCACATGGAATAGTGTGAGAAGCTGTTGAGTGTATCTAGGAGGAGCAAAATGGAATAAAACTATTCCTAGTGCCTATAATATATTCAAGTTATGATGTTCCTCAGCGCTAACAACTTTGGTTTCACTTTGAGGCAGTTGCCTATGGGATAACTGCTTCTGGGATCTTGTGGCCAGTCTAATTAAAGCCTAAAGCTTCATGCCAGTCAACACATGTACACACCAGGAAAGAATTATCCTGTATGTGGAGTCCTGGGACTAGAACTAAATATCTTCACAAGGAACAAGCAAAGGAAGAACTATTACATACAAGATGTTATTTGGTAAAAGACACAACAATGTAATTCCAAATTGAGATTCTGGGAAATATGCAGTTCAAGTATGCTTACTATCCCAGTTGTACTTCAAAGAAGGGATTAACTAAAGAGGAGATCATCTTTGAAGCAAGAGGATATGCAGCCAGCTGGAGTCTACCCCCTCACAATGCAGCTTTCCCAAATCCATTTGGATGATGAATTTGGCCTGTTCTGAAAGAGTCATCTGCCTGGGATGGGGGGAAAAAACATTCTGTTTTTCTGTCATTTCTGTAGATATGCTCACCCACATACACTAGTCATGGGAAACTGCATGAATCAGACAGCTCCCTTTTTCATTAAGGACTGAGAGAAATCTTCTGGAAATTAAAACAATCATCAGTGAAGGAATCATGGAACAAAAGTTTTAAGTTTCAGAACACATCAATATTGATTGCCTTGGGAAATGTTACATTTTTCATTATTATCTGGGGCTATTGTCATTCCTCTTTAACAATTCTAGTTATTTGATTCTCAGCAAGAGACTATTTAAGATCAAGAACAAAATTTACTTTCAGAAGTCTACAGCTCAGCCTTACATAAGAACGTTTTACACAGAGCTCTTCATGCTCTTTCACTTCACCCTGCCAGGCCTGGTTATCAGCGCCCTCCCTCCAGCACAGCCTGCTCTGACAATGGGAGCAACGAGCTGCAGCTCTCTTCTCTCACCCGTGTGTGTTTCGAGCTTTTCCCCACAGTGTTCCTAAACATATCCACACCACTACAACGTACATCTTGAAGGGAAGCTCTTCTCCCAAGAGCTGATATTCTTAAAGGAAAACCAACACAAGTCAGTAGAAAACACCTGAAAATATCCATTTAAAAGTGATTATTCAATAAAGAACAAATTAACTTTCCCATGTTCTCCTGGTGATATAGATACTTCTCTTCATTGTGTGTCTTGGCTGCCTCTATGTTTTTCATACCAGCACACAACCAGACAGCAGCAGTTATCCACAACCTCGCTGCCGCCCCAACTCAAGTGAATGGCAAACTGAGAACTCAGCTCAAAACAAAGTGAAAAAGAGTCCCCAAATAAGGGAGCAGTCAGTGTGGTAACAAGCTACAGTTTCTTGTTGCTTCACTGTGGTAGCTTCCCTTACTTGCTTTAGGGAGAGGATGCTACAGGGACACTTTGTGAGAACACTTTGCTGCCAGGCATCGCACAGGCAGCGATGTGCGGGGCCTCGCAGGTGCACCCCCCAGCACCCCAGGCAGCGGCCGGGGGCTCGAGGGCGGCACCTCAGGGACACGACGGACAGCCGTTACAGAGCTGCGCTGCTCGCCCTACCTGACGTCGCACACACCGTCCTCTCTTCACAAAGCTGTGGTGATCGCTCCTAACACTTATTTCAAACGGCAGATTTACACAGATCTTTCGCCGCTCATACGAAAGAGCTTACCAGCGGCTGATTTCAGCGAAGGTTACGGCGGGGACCCCAAGGAGGACCCGTAGGCGCGTGGCAGGGCGCGAGCGGTCCGCCGACGGCCGGCGCCGCGCAGCCCCCACCGGCCGTCGGCGGACCGCTTTCGCTACACGCGCGCCGTCCCTTCGGGGCGAGCCTCCCGCCCGGCCCCTCCCTCCGCCCGCCGGGGCGGGGCCGGGAGCAGCGCGGGGCGCGCGGCAGACGCGGACCAGCATCGCGGGTCGAGCCATGGGGCAGGGCTCGGCGCGGCTCAACCAGTCCGGCGTTTCGCGGGCGGCCGGCGGCGCCTGCGCGGCGGACGGGCAGCGCGCGGGGCCCTTCTCCGGCGCCGCCGCGGCGCTGCTGGCGGCGCTCGTGGGGCTGCTGGTGCTGGTCACGGTGCTGGGCAACGCCCTGGTCATCCTGACGTTCGTGGTGGACCGGCGCCTCCGCACCCAGGGAGACTTCTTCCTCAACTTGGCCGTCGCCGACCTCCTGGTGGGTGAGTGCTGGGGCGGCGAAGGGCCGGGGGAGCGCGGTGCGCCGCGAGAGTCACCACCGGCTGTGTCCACAGGCGGCTTCTGCATCCCGCTCTACATCCCCTACATGCTCACGGGCGAGTGGAGGCTCGGCCGGGGCTTGTGCAAGCTGTGGCTGGTGGTGGACTACCTGGTGTGCACCGCCTCCGTCTTCAACATCGTCCTTATCAGCTTCGACAGGTTCATCTCTGTCACCAAGGCGGTAAGGGCTGCACTCCAGGGCACGAACGGCAAAAGCCGCGGTTAGCAGAGAAGCCCAGCAGAGCAGCTGCAGGAAGGGCTTGCTTGGGTGATCCTCGTGCTCCTCAGACAACACAGGAGATGAGAGCAGCCTCGATACACCCGCTCTGTTCTGGAAGTAGGTTTAGGAACAATTGGCTTTGGCAGAAAGGAGAGTTGTTTCTCACTTCTCTGCTGCTTCAGAAACTGGCACAGGCTGTACGAGCTGCTGTTGAAGCTAGAAGAGCAGAGCCTCTCACTTCTTCACAGAATCGTAGGGGTTGGAAGGGACCTCCAGAGATCATCGAGTCCAACCCCCCTGCCAAAGCAGGTTCCCTACAGCAGGTCGCACAGGTCGGCATCCAGGCAGGTCTTGAACATCTCCAGAGAAGGAGACTCCACCACCTCCCTGGGCAGCCTGTTCCAGTGCTCCGTCACCCTCACTGTAAAGAAGTTCTTGCACATGTTTGTGCGGAACTTCCTATGCTGCAGTTTCCAGCCGTTTCCCCTTGTCCTGTCTCCACTCACCACAGAAAAGAGTCCGGCCTCGCCATTCTGCCCCCCACACCTTAGATATTTATAGACCTTCTTCTGCAGTTACACCTTAGAAGAGCTTAGAAAATCATTACCCGGGTGCAACAGAGCGTTCCCTCGAACACAGCAACACACCTACTGCCAGCCTCCAGTAAAGGCAGAGCTCTGCACCAGGTACTAAGCCCTTCCATGGTGCCCAAACAACACGTTATCTCTGGCATTAGGTCTCATTCTTCTACAAGCAGTTCGTGGCTATTCTTCAGCACCATTTCACTTGTATTTCATTAAAACATTGAATTAGCTTCATTGTTCAATGTAAATCACACTGAAGCAACAATAACTTTTCAGTAAATAGTTAGAAGAAACAACAGCACTTAACACAGTTCATAGGTAGCTTAGTATTTCACCAACTATTTTTTCCAACAGGGAGAAATAAATTAATTCTCAAATAGTCAACACAACATTCCTTTATTTTCTAAGTTCTGTATTAGCCATGAATTTTACTTTTAGAAACCACACTCATGACTATACACATAATATAAATATATAGACTGGATGGTTTCAGAACCAAGCTGCATAAATGCATAAATGATAGAGTTCAGCCTCTTTGAAACATTTCAAATAAATCGTCCATATAAAAATCCCTCCCAAAGAGTACAGAATCTGCCTACTGGTGTAGAGCAACATGAGAATATGTGAATGAGTTCTAAATTATTCTCTCAGTGAAAGCTTCAAACTTCCTACAGAAGTTGCTAATGATTTCAGGAGCAGTCTTGAAAAGGACTGCAAAAATGAGACCCAATTCAGACAAACTCAGAATTCCTCAGCTGTACTGCCATACTAACCAAAACAGCATAAGCCCTGGAGACCAAAATTCACAGACTGGGGCAACGGGCATGAATTCAAGGAGATTTCAAGGCTGAGGACTTTGTATTCCAAAATATTGTGTCATAGGTCCCTGGGATTAACCACTGTAGAGATGGGAAGATGGAATTCCAATTCATTATATGAATATTGTCTGGTACACCAGCAAATTAGAATATGAAAACTTAGATAATCTTGAGGTTCTACTCTATAGTGCTGATGTAGTTTACTGACTTAACACCGTACAACCCTTGTGGCACCTTAGATTCCCTGTTTTCTAAATAAGAAAAAATACTCACCCTGTGAAGCATTTTGCAGACCACAAATCAATCCCACTTGCAGGTAACAGTTCTGTAAGTAATTTGTGACAAAATGAAAATAAGGGTATAAAACAAAAGCTCTTCGCCATTTCTTTTTGTGGGCAACTTTCGCTTAAGAAAAAAAAGCTATCTATACAAAGCATTGAGGATCTGCATTCACAGAATACCCGTGCAAGCTCTATTCATTTATTACAGTTTCTAGATTGTTTAATATAGAATACATCAATGAATTTCAAAGAGCTGTCTTTGATAGCTTTGATAAGCTGTAAACTTGTGTCATAGCTTATGCAACAGAATACATAAGCAACTAGTAACTGCTAATTCTAGAAACTGCAGTGAGTATTTACTTCAGAAAAGCCTATTTTCTGGTTTGTAAGGTCTGATGCACATTCTCAGAACCTACCCATGATAGTATTTCTGAAACACCCACTCTAACAAACATCTTTTCTGTGGTTTTGTGAGCCCGTAACCCCTACCCCCAAACCAATATATGTTATCATCAACCTTCAAAAGATAAGAGGTCCACATTCCAAGGTGCCCATGGAACCACTTGAGATGCCATTAATATACGTGACTTCTTCCTTTCTCAGGTGAGTTACAGAGCACAGAAAGGGAAGACCAGAAATGCAATACTGAAGATGATCACTGTATGGATTGCTGCTTTTCTTCTCTACGGTCCAGCCATTCTCAGCTGGGAGTACGTAGCCCAGAAGAGCATCCTTCCAGAAGGAGAATGTCATGCAGAGTTCTTCTACAACTGGTATTTCCTAATGATTGCTTCTACCATTGAATTCTTTACACCTTTCATCACTGTTACATACTTCAACTTAAGCATTTACCTCAATATTAGGAAACGCATATCCCTTAGAAATGAAAACTTATCTCCTGGCCAAGAGGACTGTGAGATGAGTTTCCGAGGGAAAAAAAGGGAACACACCATATTTTTGGTAAAACCTGCTAACAGACAGAAACACAAGAAGAAGAAAGGAAGCAGCCTTTCTCCCCTGCAGAAGGCTTCAAGGCTCAGCCTGTGTAAATTTGACAGTCAGTCATTAAATGTGAATGTCAATCAAGACCTTACACCACTTCAGGTGGACGTAGAGACTAAGTCTCATAGGAACAGTTTCTGTAAAACTACAAAAGACACAGGCAGCGCCACCACGAGAGCAGACGCTGCTATGACAAACAGATTTAGACTTACTCGAGATAAAAGAGTAGCTAAGTCTTTAGCAATTATTGTAAGTGTGTTTGGTTTGTGTTGGGCACCTTATACACTTTTAATGATCATCAGAGCAGCTTGACATGGGCACTGTGTGTTACATTCACTTTATGAGACTTCGTTTTGGCTTCTGTGGGTGAATTCAGCCATTAATCCCATTCTGTACCCACTATGCCACATGAGCTTCAGGAAAGCCTTTATCAAACTCCTGTGCCCAGGAAAAGTTAAAGTTCATCCTCATATTTTTATGTAAAAAAAAAAAAAAAGAAAAACCTGTGAAATTTGTCAGTAAGCACATCTTGCTTTCAGTGGGAACACAAACTGGCCAATACTCATGTAAATAGTAAATGCACTGTGCACTGAATATTTAAGGGAACACTGATGAGTAAATATTCAGGAACTTATAGAATACAGCCATCTGCATAGCTGAAGAAATAGCAATCAGTGACAACAAAGGTAATTTCTCAAAGCTCTTCAAGGATTTGCCTACAGTGTACTTTCTGGTGATGATGCACTAGCACTGAAGAGACAAAAAGGGAATACAAATTTGATATCCAACAACTGGGGAGTGTCTCATTATTAATGTTCAAGTAAAACTGGTAAGAAATTTGTTAGTTTGGATTTGTTATATTTTGCCCCCAGCCACTCTGTAAGGACTTCAGGGTCTTAGCTGCTAGGTGTATGCATTTTGGGGAGGAAATCCCCAGTCCCTAACCAACTAATGGTACCAAGGAAAAGCTTGGAACAAGAGGTACCAGAACAGTCAGGTTACCAGAAAAGCTGAACAACTATACCAATAAAGGAACACTGACTTGGGTGGAAAAGGTGATTCGTTTCCACCTTCATTAGCATCTTCTACAGTTTTACAAACATTTAATTCTGAGAACAATTCATAGCTATTGAACATCCACAGTCACTCAGTGCCACAGCCAAAAAGCATCTTAGCACAGCTGATCTGAAAGTTCACTAATGATGAAGTTCATTTTGTAAAATTTCAATAAAGGTAATTACCAACTGTGAAAGAGTTACGACTGTCATCTTAACCAAGAGCATACGGAAGTAAGCTTATAACAGAGAATAACTGCAGCTGAAGCCACAAAACTATTATTAAGTAGTAATTCCTGAGTTACAAGTACAGGTTACCTTAAGAATTAAACATAGTTTCACAAATATTCTAAGATAAGAGGGCATATTCCAACCATATGAATGCATCTACATGAACATAATAATCACATTTTACTATGAATGCTTCATAACAAAGAGTGCTTTAACTTTTTTCTTAAACAAGGGACAGCATCAACAGATACTGAGTAATGGTATTCAAAAGTTTTTTACTTACGCCACAAAGCAAATAAGGCCATGAGGTTCCCTCCATTCCTCCTCCACTTCCAAACCAGCAGAGCAACAACCTAATTCTTATCTTCTCTGTAATTCTTAGGTTTCCTAGGATTATATTTGTCATTTTCAAAAACAAGCAGTGACACTAAATTATTGAACAACCCAGCAAAGTTTGACTACCTCATCCAATATAGCCTATGCCATTTTAATAGCAGTGACCGACTCAAGGAGTGAGGAAGTTCAGTCGGTAGCTTTAGAACACCGCAGTCAGTTAAGGTAAAGAAACAAGATTTCAACAAAGTTTTTAGGAAATGGTATTAAATCTACAACTAGATCAGTCTTCACATATCATTGGGAATTGCTCTACCACTCAAATTTCTACAGCTTCATGATTTAATTGCCACGAATCTCTTTAGCACAGACCTAGAATCTAGCAGGCTTCTCCACCATTCAAATCAGAAAAGCACTCTGAAGTGTGAACAGGCACCTTTCAGCAGAAATTGATTTTGGATGACAGTTTTCTGCATCAGGACAGCTAGCACCCTCCTCAGTTGGTCCAGGTTAACCACGCCTTTGTTTTTTTGTCCCTTCAAAGCAGAAGTCCCTTTGCTTTTATCAGAAGGTAGTACTAGGTTCAACAGTGGGCTCTGAACAGACAAAACAACAGGTGTTAATAGCAATTTTATTGTTTCACTGGTGCAAAAATCATGATACGGAATAAACTGGTGTAATGCATTTTCCCCTAAATTTACAGTAATGAAGGTTATACATATCTATATAGATTGCAATTTCTCTATTTTTATACTATTTGGAACAAAATTATCTTGATAAATACTCCCTGTGCACGGTACTGGCTCTCACTGAATGTCACAGAGCCTTAATATGCAAAATATAGCTTCTGTTTTTGAACATGGTATTTTAAAACTCTCCAAACATGCATTAATATATTCTAGTTTTTAGGGAAAAACATTACACTTAGTCTTAACTTGCATTAAAAGAAAAGCACAAGCAGAACCTGACATACAATAATCCCAAAAGTCTGATGCTCTGCAAGGATCACAGTTTCAGATGACAGTCACTGCCAGTTTAGAACTCTAGTGCCACAGAAGCAACAGCAAACAGACAAGAGAAGTCAAAAACAGAAGAGCCCTACCATGTCACATAGATTCCAAAGAAAGATTCAGCCATGCTAACTGAAGAAACCTGTAGTTGCTGGTCCAACCTTTCAAATTCGTTAGAGTACTTAACACAAGTGTTTGAAGTGCCAGACTGAGCACGTGAATGTTAACTTGACATTTCTGAAAGGCACAATCTATGAAACTATCTTTAAAAAAAAAACAACAAAACAAACCATATGGTATGTAAATGAAAAGAAATAAGTACAGTGCGTATCTCCTTTAAAGAACAAGACCTTCATAAATTGGCCCCTCAGATTCTGGTGATTCCCTCCTCAGACGCAAGTGCTCCAGTGTGTTGTGAAAGTGTTTGTTAATTTGTTCTGTTTCTTCAGTAGATTCGAGGTTTGGAAGATCTTCTCTTATCTTTTGTATGAGTTGATTCAAAACTTGAATTGTCACCTGCAGGAGAAGATATGAGCAACAAAATAATTGACAAGACCTCTGTGTAACACATAAATATTAGTTTTAACAGACTACAGACAGACTTCCCTTGGTTTATGGACAGTTCTTACAGTTATTATTGATAACATATGCAGACAAACTGCTGGATTCTGCACCTTCTCTTGCTCCTCCTAGCAGGCACAATACTTCAGGTTTCAGAATTTTGTGAAAGCTCCCCCCAACTCCAGCCAATATGAACAGCCTCTCAAGTGAAGAAACCTATAGATTTGTAACTTAACACAGCATTTCTCTTCACTTTATTCATTACAAACGTTAATAACTTTAAACAAATAAAGCACACAACCAGACTGTCTAGACAACCTGTCTCCTGTAGAAGTCAGGATGGTAGCATCAGATTAAGTTATTCCTAGCAACCAAGTCACAGCTTAGGAAAGTATAGCTATCTATGGCAACAAATCCAGCATTACACAGTACACCAAAGCACAAAATGCACTGCAGACTGCCACTGTATCACATTCTTACAGATGTGCTCAGTGCCTTGAAATACAGCGTTTTGCCTCAATCCACAGATCCAACAACTCCAACACTACTGTAGTAGCTGGAAATTGGTTCTGCTGCTGGAAGTTATCATATCCCTAAAATCTCTTCAGATGTGCTCTCAGAATTACATGATAAGTTATTAACATCTGTTCTTCACTAAATGGTGACATAGGAACTTCAGAAGTTTACCAGCTACATGCTAACTAAACAATGAGTATGCTGCAACCATTATCTCAGATGTCAGGTGAAACTTAGGCTGGCACGCAAGACATCACACCAGTGAGATTAAAGTCTACACCAACCTTTGGCAGCACTCTAAGCAGTGACCTTGAATAGCTCTAAGAATTTTATTTCCCTTAGTGCACATTAAGTTAAATACCTCTGAAGTTAAATGAAAATACAGTAAGATCTTAAATCATAGTCAGTTTTGACCTAATAAAAGTAGATGTATCCAAGTCTCGCAATTTAAATTCAGAACTAGATTACAAGTGATTTTCTTTCCTATGAAAGAAGTTATCTCTACAACATGGAGAGCATTGTATTTTACTAGCATACCAAAAATTGACCACTTAGTATTACTATTTAGCACACTAAGCAGACATGATCCGGGGTATAAATGAGTACAGGTATTAGAAAACAGATTTAATGAATAATGCATTTTTACTCACTGCCTCATTTTCCTTTTCGTAAAAATAGATGTATCTATTGAGAATTTCTATGAAAAGTTGGACTTGCAGAGAAGGGTCCATGCACTGATTTGCTATTTTTAAAGCCTTCTTCAGGCACTCCATCACTCTCTTTCCTCCATGAAGCTACAAGGAAAAATAAAGTTACAAGAAATAGAATAAAATAATATAAGAAATAGAATAGGGAGAACCAACATCTCTTCCCTCAACACATAGATAGCATTTCACAGGGGTACATTACAAAAACAACTGTAGAGAATGACACAAACTGCAGAACAACCTACCATTAAAACTGTACCCTTCTCGATTTTAACAGTTTGGGTAAGCTTTCCGTAAATCAGGCAATAACAAACAGTTGTTGAAAGCCTTCATGTACCTAACTAAATTTGTACACTACCTACACTACAATACGTACACTAACACGTAGCTTGTGAAACAAATTTCAAACAAATGTTCCTAAGTGCTGTTGCTCATGTGGGAAAAGCACCCCTTCTTATCTTTGAATTCAACAATTTGTACCTTCAGAGTTCATTGATTCATGTGCAAACAACTATAGAGATGTGTAAAATGCAGGAGATTACTCTGAGCCAGCCTTAAACTAGCTGACAATCACAAACTTTTAAGCTTGAGGTTTTTTTAATTCTCTATTTATGCACACTGTAAGATTTAGAAGCTTCATATATTGGAACACAGTCCAGCCAAGCCTGATCACACTGTGTTCACTTTAGAAGCTAGTGCATTCTGAAGGAAGACACAGCTACATCACTGAGGTAGGATGTGCTGCGCTGTGTCCCTTAATTCTTACCTCCTCTCCATTCTTGTCAGTGTTTCGGCCAGACCAGAACAGATGAGCACAAGTACTCACAGCCCGGCACTGGTCTGGTTTCTTAAGGAGCTTAGAGGCTGCCAACGCACACTGAGTCCTCAGCGGCTCATGGTTCTCCTCACTGAAGCACTTCATCCTCTCAAACGTCCCAATTATCAATGTGATTGCAGCCAGCTGTGCCTTTGAATCACTGATTTCATCTTCGTACAGAGAGAAAGCCTAGTCAGAGAAGAAGGCAAATCTTAATTACTGCTTCAGAACAATATAAAAAGAATTACACTTGCAATAACAAAAAAACAATTGGACACTTCATAGTGACTGCCACCATCTAGTCAAAACCACAGACCAGAAGCGTGTCCTGCAACAAAGTTATTGAAATAGTCATAGAAAACATGTATGGTTCTCTAAAAACAGAGATAGAGTTTCTCCTTGTTTCAGGCATCTGTTCAAATAAGAAACTTCAGTAACAGAAATATTCATTAACAAAGATCCTTTGAAATGCAAAACAGCACAGCAAAAGCTTAAGTGGTAGGTTACTGACCAGTCAGGTTTCCTGACAGTCAGGAAAATGTTTACATTGCTGCTGTGTCTTCAGAAAAAGAACGTACCACTAAAGAAATCTCAAACTATTTCTAAGGTAAGGCACATAAGGTCCATCAGGACTGTGCTGTGTCAGAATAGCAACTGATCCACAGTGAGTAAAGACGGGGGGCTATCAGTGACTCAGTTTAAGAACATGCCTTAGTAGCAGTATGAGGAAAGATTAGAACAAGGCCTGTAATCCGGATAGCATTAGTAAGTCAGTTCTTCATCTAATGTGGGCAAGTGGGAGAAAAGCTTAAGTCACAGGTAAAGCAGACTTGGAAATAATTTAATGACTTTCAACAAAAA